TGCTCTAGCTCATTGACATAAACTGATTATACATTTTGAAACATTTTTTTTTATCTATAAATAAATGGTTTTGAAATCTTTAGGATTTTTTGCTGTCTTAATGACAGCTAAAACTTTATAGGATGCTTACTACATGTCAGGTAATGCATTAATCCTGGCTCATTTAATATACATAACACCTTTCTGAATTGCTAAAATTATGAAGAAATTAAGTTTTAAAAAAATTAACCTTGAGGCTGGGGTTATGGCTTAGCTGTAAGGCACTTGCCTCGCATGTGCAAGGCACTGGGTTCGATCCTCAGCACCACATATAAATAAATAAAATAAAGTTAAATATAAAAAGGAATTCAAAAAAACTCAAAATAAAAAAATTAACCTTGAAACAAAGAAAAAGAAAAATTTTTAAAAATTAAGCTTGGAGAGAATAAAGAGTTTAAGACTACTTGTTAATGCAACTACATCTTGGGATTGACTCAGAAAATCAAGTCTGGAAGCACTTCATTAAGCTTCTCATTAATACTTGCCATCTCTGAAAACCTGCAATAAGATATTACTTAAGACTGAGGACTAGAGATGGGCTTAGTGCTACACAAATTTAATTCCATTGATTCAATAGGCTGAGACAGAGGATTGCATGTCTGAAGCAAGACTCATGAATTTTTTGGGATTCGAAACACCCTAATTAGACCTGGTCTCAAAATAAATAACTTTAACAGGCTGGGATGTAGCCCAGTGGCACAGCACCATTGGGACCAGTTCCCAATACCCTAAACAAACAAAAAAATTATCAAACAATTGAGAACAAGAAAAAATCTTGAAAAGAAGAAAAACACTAAAGAATAGTTCTGATGCTTTGTTGGAAATAGAATCATTCATTATGCTTCTAACACCTTGATTTCTATTACTTTTTCATTTGTGTGTGTGCGCATGTGTGTGTGTTTATTTCTGATTCTTGCCCTATCTGCAATTTAAAAAAAAAAAAAAAAATTAATCCATCAGATTTAGAGCAGCTTTTTTTCTTTATGAAATTACCTATGTCAGTTTGGTTTTATAAAAAACAGATTTTTGGAAGATTCCAAAGAAACACAGATGGATGAGCTTGAAAGTTTACATCTATCCCACTGCCAAGCTCCATCCAGTTTATAACAAAAGAGTGTCCTAAGCTAAATTCTGCCACGTCTGCCTTTTGTTAATTAAACTTTGTTAAAAGTTGAGTAGAAAATTATTTCCCAAAATTTAGTATAGGTTTGAGGACATTTTATACCTTAATACTTTTAGTGGTTTTGCTATCAAACCCAGGACCTTCAGCATGCTAGCCAGGTGCTCCACCACTAAGCTACATTTCCATAGCTGTGGGCAAATGCAAGTACCACAATGCCAAACTTTTTTTTTTTTTCTGTCCCTGGCTATGAAACTCAGAGCCTTGCACATGCAAGGCAAGTGTTCTACCTCTAAGTTATCCTCCAGATGCCTCTTTTTATTATTATTTTGAGACAGCTTCTCACTAGGTTGCCCAGGATGGCTTCAAATTGTGGATCCTCATGTCTCAGCCTCCCTAGTAGCTGGGAATGGAGTGTGTGTGAGAGGACGCCCAACTCATTGTTTATATTTTAAAAACCAATTCAACTTGTAAGTATTCAAATTCCTCCTGATAGTTTTTCTATAATGTTTTATAGGTAGCTCCTTTTTCAGCTCAGTAGGTAGAGTCACAAAAGAAAGGCATGGTAGTGGTCACCTGAGACTTCTAGTTGCAAGATATATTTTAAAATGTTTTTTTGGGAGGGGACAGTTCATGTCAGTTTTTTTCTCTTTTAGGCCCTGCAACTGAATGCAAGGCTTTAGTTCATGCTATGAAAGCATTCTTTACCACTGAGATACATCTCCTGACTTTCATTTTGAGTCAGGGTTTCACTAAATTGCCCAGGCTAACCCCAAACTTTCACTCCTCCTCTATCAACCTCCCAAGTACCATGAACCATCAATGCAGTTTATTCACCAGTTTTTATTTTCTGGCAGAACTAGGAGTGTCTATTTTTATTCACTATAATTTTCCTCCCAATTCTTAGAATATTGTCCAAAGTTAAAACCCAAAACAAAAAACTCCTCAGCAAAAATTTTGAGAGAGGAATGAAAAAAATCTAAACTGGAAAAATAACCAGGTGTGGTGGTACACAATTGTATTCCTAGGGATCAGGGAGGCTGAGGCAGGAGGATTACATATTCAAGGCCAATATCATCAATTTAGCAAGGCCCAAAGCAACTTAGCAAGCCCTGCCTCAAAAATCAAATGAAAATATTAAAAAATAAATAAAAGTGGATTCGGGTGTAGCTCAGTGTTAAAGAACACCTGGGTTCAAGCACAAAAAAAGAAAGGAAAAATATAAAAGCAAAAAATAAAAATAAATTAGAGATTATAAAATTTAAACCTCAGTAGAGGAAGAAACCAATGTTGTTGTTGTTGTTGTTTTAATTGAGAGGTTGTTGTTCTAGAAAAAAAAATTAACAATGAAATAATTATTTCAGTTAAATTATCTCTTTGCAAAACCTAAGTCATGTGAACTTTCTTACGTCTGATCCAAAAATCTCATCAAAGTTATTTACTCTCTTTTGTAAACATAGTCAGTGTGATCTTATAATCCTTTTACACCACTTGCAGAAGAAGTAACTGACAGTGGGTGTGGTTTTAGGTGAGTCCCAGGTATTTAAGGAGAGCAATTTTCTTGAAATTGCCTTTACCACTAAGGTACCTCTAAGGTGCAGACCGAATTTTCAGCTGTTGAGCTGAGGAGACATGAGAGTTACTGTACACCGTAATACTAACAAATTTTCCACACTTCCAGACCTGAGGTCTCCTAGAACTGACTCTGGTGAGTTGGAAATTTACAATAAAGGCTTTCAAGCTATCTTTCATTCTTAAAAATTGTTTGAATTTACTTGAAAACCTACTTGGGTTTGGTCCAAGTAAAAAACCTACTTTTTTTTCCTGTTTAAAATATATGTAACTAGACTATATGTAAAATATTCGTTTCTGCTAAGTGATCTGAGTAATTTTCATTCTATTACCTTGTGTTTTATTAGATTTTGCAGGATTTAAATGAAATATTTCTGCAGTTTTAACCATTTTGGAACTCATATAATGCTTCAAATATTCAGTATATTTTATGTGTGTAATAGTGTTTATGCACATCAATTCAGAATTTTTTTTAAAGTGGGTACCAGGGATTGAATTTAGAACACTCAACCATTGAGCCACATCCCTAGAACTATTTTGTATTTTATTTAGAGACAGTGTACTATTGAGTTGCTTAGTGCCTTACTTTTGTTGAGGCAGGCTTTGACTCCTGATCCTCTGGCCTCAGGCTCCAGAGCCAATAGGATTAAAGGTGTGTGCCACTATGCTTAGAAATTTAATGTATAGATTTGACTGTAAAACATTTGATGTGAAAGTCCTATTTTCTGTCCCTTTAAAACCTTCAGTTTGCAAACTAGATTTGAAAAGTATCCCAGTAAATGCAACAAACTTGTAGAGGTTTTTCAAGTAGGAAGTTTGATCACTAGAGAAAAATACTAAAAATTAAGATAAATTGATTATACCTCATCAATTGCATCTCTAAACTGAAGGGTAGTCTCTGGAGAGGAAAAAAAAAACATGATTACCATTGTTAATTTGTGCTATCACCATTTTTTTTTTTTTTTTTTGTGCTGGGGATTGAACTCAGGGCTAATCTACCACTGTATAACAACCCATTTTGAAATAGTCTCACTAAGGTTCGAAGGCTGGCCTTGGACTTAGTTTCCTTTTGTCCTAGTCTCCCCAATAGCTGGAATAGTTGGCATATGCCACTGCACTGGGCTTTCTTGTTGATTTTATTGTAAATAACAATGGATTAATAATTACTTATTATTACTGTAGCACGCACACCCATCATCTGAAAATATGGAGGCACTCTGATGGTCATAACTGATTCTGGGAAATATTATTTTCTTTAATGAGAAGTAATAGAAAAAAAATTATTTTATTATTATTATTTCTATTTCCTAATTAGTCCTTGGGCTAAAACTTAGGACATCACAAATTCTGGGAAATTTTTCTACCACTGATTACATCCCCAATATTATATCTTATTTTTAAATTTAAAACTTAATTTATTTCTTATTGGTAATAAGGATTGATCACAGAGTTGCTGTACAACTGATTTACATCTGCAACCCTTTATTTTTTATTCATTTTTTTTTATTCTGAGACAGTATGTTAATAAATTGGTGAGGTTGGCCTCACAATTTTAATCCTCCTGCCTCAGCCTCCAAAATAGCTGGAATAAGAGGTCCTCATCGATTCACCCCACTTTCATTTTATTTTTTGAAAGATATTGTTTTATTGTGGCTAGAACCATAAATTCGCCCATTTGTAGTTTTAGGAATTGTAAGTTGATCAACAGTGATTAAGTCAAGCAATCTTCAAATGAATTAAACTTAATTTTAATTGTCTTTAGAAAAGTACATCTATGGGTTGAGAGGTGGAGAGCATAGACATATGTCATGAAGACTAACTGTCTTTATATTATAGTCATTGAATCAGAGAGAGAGAGAAGAGAGAGAGAGAGAGAGAGAGAGAGAGAGAGAGAGAGAGAGAGAGAGAGATTTTAGATGGGTACCCAGAGCAAACACCTAATGTAAGTAAGTCTGAAATTATCCTAAACTTTCTTTGTCCCAATATTAAACTTGCCCAAATTAATGAGAAAGTAGCTTTTTTAAAAATCAAGATCGTGCTCATCTTATTATGTCATTTGTGTCATAGAACAAACTCAGCCTGTCTATATTTTTTATATCTAGGTTTTTTATTGCAGGAAGTTAATAGAAAGATATTGCATGACTCAACTAAAAAAGCAGTGACCAAAGCCCTTTTATAGTTGTAATTTTCTCATCAAGACAGAAGGATAACACTCTCTTGTCTCCCACTTTCCTCTCGCTCCACCATCTATATTTTTGGTTACAGAAACATGGATTCTCATGCCTTGCAAGACTTCCAAAGTGCACTCACATGCTCCATTTGCATGAATTACTTCTTAGAACCTGTCACCATAGACTGTGGACACACCTTTTGCCAACCCTGCCTCTACCTCTGCTGGGAGGAAGCCCAAACACCCAGGTGCTGCCCTGAGTGCAGAAAAATAGCAGAGAAGACAGACTACAGGACCAACACTGCCCTCAAGAAGCTGGCCTCTCTCACCAGACAGGCCAGACCTCGCTCTGTAAGCAGCTCTGGGGAGCAGCTCTGCAGGAGAAACGGGGAGACAAAGGGGCTCTTCTGCAAGGTGGACAAGAGCCTGCTCTCTGCACCCTGCTCTGAATTACCCAAACACACAGTTCATAGCTACAGCCCAGTGTCATGCACGGAGGAGGAGAATAGGGTGAGTGATGGCCATGAAGTATCCTCCACAGAGTGGGGTCCAGATCAGAGAGAAACATGAAGACTCATGATAACGAGGCAGATGAAAATGCAGATGGTAGAGGTGGTGATGTTTCAGTGTACATCACAAGATGTAAAAGTGTTGTTTAAATATTGATCAATTTGACACTATCATTATAAATAAGTTAAATGCTCATGAAGGAAATTTCCTCTAGAAATATTGTCCAAATAACAGGGTATGGTGGCTATGCCACTAATTCTAGCTATTCAGCAAACTGAGGCAGGAGGATCCCATGTTTGAGGCCAACCTGGGCAACTTAGCAAGACACTATCCTTTTCTTTTTTAATAGTTTTTTAGTTGTAGATGTACACAATACTTTTATTTTATTTTTATGTGGTGCTGAGGATCGAACCCAGTGCCTTCTACGTGCATGGTGGGCACTCTACCAGTGAACTACAACCCCAAGCTCTTCTTTTGTTTTTTTTAAGGGGCTGGAGTATAGCTCAGAGGTAAATTCTTGCCTACCATATATGAAACTTTGGGTTCAATCTCCAGTACAGAAAAATAAATAGACAAGTAAATATATTGTGCAAGAAATATGGGCTTCTTTCACTGAAGGCTGGACCCTTTAATGGTGAGGCCATGTAAAAACTGCTTTATCAAAAAATGGAATGTATTATCTATAGACTCTTTTCAAAAACTTTTTTTTTTGCTTTTAATATCTCAAGTACTAAAATCAATTTAGACTAATTTGTAAAAACCTGACTTTTTAAACTCAAAATGACTGCTCTCCCAAACACTGCTTGATTCCAGTACACAAAAGATGAAACCTATAAGATTGTCTTTCCTATCACTAACGCCTATGGTTATTTTTCAGGAAAAAAATGTAAAGGAAATGGATCATTTATGGCAAATGACTCAGGAGATGCAAGATAATCTAAATGAAGAAATTAGCAAATCTCAATCATTTGTGGTAAGTATAAAAAAGTTTTCTTTATTTTTGTGCAGATAAAAATGAAGCTATCAGCTAAATTTGAGATAACATTGAAGGATACTGTTTTCTTCTCAGACAATGCAGTGATATCTGGTAATATTACAAATGTACTGGCCAACACAAGCTAATTTGATGAATACTAGTATATGGGGTGAATGAGGCATAACTGGTATTCCTCGTCCAACTTTGGTGGTTTGGGTAAATCTTCTCAGACACTGAGGATAACACATTACTGAATTGACTTAATTCTGGAGGAGAGGAGTGAAATAGATTTTCACTTATGGGCAAAGTGAAGTATTTTTTAAATTCACAATACAGTGTGTATATAAATGTTTTAAAATATGTAGAAGAATCAGACAAAGAAGATTGAGGTAAAGAGAAAATAATTCAATAAGAACACTGAAGTGGCATCATAGGGAGATAGCCTGGGACTACTTAGAGATCTTGATTTAAACAGGAGAGAGGTAAGAAAGATAGAAAGTACAGTCAATAGTATTAGTAAATATTTAGGAGCATTTTCAGGTGTGAGATGAAAAGTATATGAAGTACTTGCTTGATGCTAAGATAATAATATTCGAAGTTTTACATTTTCTTTTGAAAGTAATCTTTTAAAATAAATATCTCTTCAGTACTATGTGGCCTTAAGGAAGAACATGATTCAAATTCGGTATCAAATGATGCATCAATTGCTCCTGGAGGAGGAACGATTTCAACTGGAAACAATAGAAAGAGAAGCACAGGAGATTGTGCAGCAACTCAGAGACAGTGAAATCAGAATGGCTCAACAGAGGGAAAGGCTGAAAGAAATGTACAGGGACCTGACTGAGATGTGCCACAGGCCTGACATGGAGTTGCTCCAGGTGACCAGGGAGGGTTCATTCTGAGAGACAGGAATCCTTGTCTGGGCAATGTTGCCTGCAAAGCCCACTGTGTTCAGCTGAGTGACAGGAGCTCCTTTATAACCACCATTGTCCAATCATTTTTTTTTTTCATTACATCCTGGTAATCTTGAGAGAGTATAAGTCTTTGAGAAGGTCAGTGAGACAAAATTTGTGCATCATTGAGACTAGTATACACAAAGAGAAGTTATCCCAAAACTCAGTAATCATAGGAAAGTTAATTTTGTTGAGGAAATATTCAGTTTATGTTTCCCAACTCCATCATCACCCTCTGTTCTCCTGCACAAAAGCAGATGAAGCTTTGCCCCTCTCCTAGACAAGATGTACAGACTTCACTATTTTTCAAATAGTTCACTGTTTAGTTGTAATTGTCAGAGGGGGTCAGATCTCTCTGGGAATAAGACTGGGAGATGAGTGACACAGGAACCTAGGTCCTGTTGCATCCCTGCACAGACCTTTTCTAAGCCCTATCCTCTCAGTGCACCCCAAGGCTGTCTTCCATGTTTAGTGTGGGCTTTGGTATTAACAGAGCCCCACATGATTTCTCAGAGAAAAATGAGAAAAAATATTCATACACACACACACACACATACAAACACACACACACATACACACACACACCAAAGTACCAAAGAGGATGCAGAAGGACAGTGTTCATATTATTAATATTACCTCTTTATTTTTTTATTTTAGGACTTAGGAGACATATTTAAAAGGTAAATTTTATAGAATCATCTCTGGTTTATGAGAAAGTTGTTTTTTTCTTATAGAAGAGAAATTATATACTTTCAGTTATTAACACCTTTGTGGATATTTAATATTTTGTTTGAAAAAGAGGCTCTGAAGTAATATGTTCCTTGGTTTCAAAATGTCCTTATGTGACTGAATTCAATTATACCTATGAATGATTTAATGTTTTAGGCTTTGTTTACCCATTCTTTCTATTCTCTACAGCCTAGTCCCAATAAACTTTACTAAGATGATTTTTATATGATATCCCAAAAAATGATCGGATTCTAGTGAGGTAGAAGGCTTACAAGATAGTAAAGAGTAATTTTCCCAGAATGGGAAAGGGAGGGGGTTTCATTACCGTGAGTAACAATGACCAGATCCTGTTTCATCATGGCATACTCCAGGTGTGGGCAGAACTCAGAGGAGAAGGGCTGCCTGAGAACCCTCAGGATCAGTGATACCAGGCTGTATTAGATCCCCTCCATGGGCAGAGATAATCAAAGCCACTGGTTCAAGGAATCAATGACTACATTGGTGATCTCTGAGTACCAAAGTCCCAAAGGTTGAACATTCTGCTTTTTGTAAGATATGCAGGATCTTTGCATTTCCCAAGGTTGATTCAGGAATAGAGGAAGGGAATGACACTCAGTATTATTTAAGTTGGATAATGTTTGAGAAGAATAAAGAGGTTGGATTTTAGTACATTAAATTTAGAAAAAAGTATCATACAATCCCGAGAATGTTGAATAAAATGTATAGCCAATTCACCAAAATGGGAGGTTTCTAACATATCTTGGGTTAAAAATGGTATCTTTGTAATGATATTTTAGTTAACCTTTGGTTTAAAAGTGTAAGTCATGTCATTCTTCCAAGGATTGAGTTGGTGCAGATGCAGAAGCCCCAGCCAGTGAACCCTGAGCTGTCTTCATCGCACATCACTGGAATCCTTGACATGATGAACAAGTTCAGAGGTAAGAGTGAGCCCAATGCCAGTCATGTTCAATTTTTTAATAGGTTCCTGAAATAAGATGCTTCCCATTTTTAATTTTCTGACATAAACATTTATATCTTATTTCCCTTTCTAGTCATAATACAATGATCAAGACCGCATTTGTTAACTTACAGCTCATATACATATTTCAGTTCTGATACAGACAGTACAAGGGAAGGCTATTATTGGTGTTTTGTGGTTATTAAACAATAAAATGCTTCCTTCTTAGAGAAGCAACCAATATTTTATGTTATTTCAGTTTATTCTAATTTTAAAGATTTTAATATGATATTGGTGTCTTTAAAATATGTTCTATATTCCAAGTGTATTTATGATAAGTAACGGGCAAATAATAATTAATATTTAAAAACTAAAAGTGTTGATAAACAAAAAAATGACTAAATTTGCTATAAATATAACAATTTTAATACCATCAGATGGATTTCAGAACAACCAAAAAGTGAGTGATCTGTGAACATGACCCAGCCATTTTAGTGCCCCATTAGAGAAGAGGTCTAGATATCAGAAGGATGAAATCCAAGTTTGATTGAATGAATGGTCTCAGCAGATAATTTAGGTCAGAGATTCTTTTCAGTAAAGGGTGCAGATGTTGCTTTCCATCAAATTATTTGATGTTTGATAATGAAGTAGGCACAATCATAGCAAAGTTATGTCTGTTTATTAATGGTATTAAAAACAACTCAAGAAGAGATTTCTACTAAAGAAAAAAGAGTTTTGGTTGTGACCTGAAATAAACCATCCAAAAGTAGATATTAAATCACCCCTTCACACAGTACATGATACATTCAGGCTTTTTTGTTTTTCATATAATTTAATGATTTCTGAGTGCTAAAGAGAACATAGGAACCATTCTCCATACACATGAGTGAGTCTGAATTCTCTCTTCTCTCTACCTTTTCTTAGAAGAGGAGAAAATAAAGAGATTGATTAGGTATGCAATCTTTGTCCAAGACATGCAAATGCCATTTACTGATCTGATTTTTGTTTTTCTGTGCAGTGAATAATGGGACTATTCAAGGATGGGCCAATCACTATATGATCCTTTCTGATGAAGTTATAAATAGGATATTTGGAGATAATGGTGCAATTGAAGATCCTCAAACACTGGAGAATTCTGTTATATGGGGTGTTGAGGACTTTACCTCTGGTACACTATTGGGAGGTGGATGTGGGGAACACCTCCAACTGGATTCTGGGTGTCTGTAATGATTTTATAACAAGCGACAGTTTTGATTGTGAGAAAGCATTTCTCCTATTTTCCTTAAAGAAGAACAACCACTGTAGTCTCTCCACCAACTCCCCACCCTTAACTCATTGTGTACAAAGGCCTGAGGATCGGGTTGGGGTGTTTCTTGATTATGAGAATGCAAAAATGAGCTTCTATGATGTTGACCAAGGTTTCCTCATATACAGTTTCTTTCCTTCCTCCTTCAAATCCCCTGTGACTCCTTTTATTTTCTTTGGTTCTCCATAAAATTGAGGTTTTCCTGGGCATGGTGTCACATGCCTTTAATCATAGCTACACAGGAAGCTGAGACAGGAGGACCACAAGCTTTGAGGCCAGAGTGGGCATTTTAAAGTGATTTAAAAAGGGGGGAGTGGGGAAGGATGTAGACCAGTAGTAGAGCACTTGCCTAGCAGGGGTGAGGTTTGGGGTTCCACGATACTGAAAAAAGAAAAAAAAATTAAAAAGGAAGAAAATAAAAAAGAAAGAAAATGAGAATTTATTGGAAAATATCCATGTCTAAAGAAAATGTTCTTGGGACTCTCTCATGTCATGTTACAAGTCTACACATGATGTCTGTGGGTCCTTTTTAACTTAAGGAAGTATAATCATTTTATCATCATAAATTGTGACAACCACATTGAATTCATAAATTTGTTTACTAAATTTTATTTTAATAAAATGTTGCAAAACCACCACGATGTGCTTTGAGTTTATTTTTCAGTCCGTTAAAAGAAATTCAATGCCTATTAACATTAACTCCCCATTCATTCCCACTTCCCACTACCTGGAATTCTCTTAACTCTTTAGGTTTTTATGGATTTGTGTATTCCAGACAGTTAAAGAAAATAGAATTAAAAGTGTTGTTCTTTGTATCTTCTATCATTTAGTATAAAACTTTCAAGAATCATCAGCATTGCAAACTAAGTGTTTAATTTACATTTTTGATCAAAACTGTGGCAGAGGATGAAATGATTCATAAATTAGCTTTCTAAAGAACAGAAAGCAGCTAAAGCTGCTAGATTTCTCTCAAGTATGACCTATTTGGGTAGATCCTGGTATCTGACAGATTATTATTTCGGTAAGTCCTAGTCATTCATCACATCTAAGCTCAAAGCCTTTTCATTGAAGGCATCCCTGCTTCCATATACCAGGGTAGTTCCTCTTACTCCACACTCCAAGCATACTATAGCATCTCCTAATCTTCAGCAAACTCTGATCAAATTGGTATTTACTTATTACTACTAGACTCTAAATTCCAAGATCAGAAGGGTCATATTTGTCATATTTATTACAATATTTTCATTACCTAAAATGCAATGCTTAGAAGATAATACATGATACAAATGGAGTGAAAGATTGAATTAATGAACCAATAAAAGTTAGTATCAACAAATGCTATTATAGCATTAGAATGCTTCCAAAAATGCAGCTAACAAGGGCCAAAAATTCTAATAAGTAATGTTAATGAAAGACAATAGATTGATTTCCAGATTCATAATCTTCTATGGGCTGTATCTGAAAGTCTATGAAAGGGCCATGTGTTTAAAGGTTCCTTCCTGAGATGAGCTGTTGATTCACTAGTTATACAACCTTGGTGGTATGCAATTTAAAAAAGGATTCCCCAGCGGGGTGGCCCAGCATAGTGAGTAGACCCTTTGGGACTGAATTGCAGAAGACTTAGAAGTGTTGATGAGATGTGGATTGTTGTCTTGGCCGTGAGTCAGATCCCTGAGCTCTCCTCACCTAAGCACATCTGTTCACTTTCTTACAAATCTACATCTAATGAAGGAATGTGCCAGTTCAAAGTGATTGTAATTGCTTAAAAAGGAGAAGGCAACCACACATCACCTTTGCTTTTTTTCTGTCCCCTCTTGCTTCCCCTTGGCCAAGTGACTGCCCTGGGCCAAACTCAGAGAATAGAGGGAAAAATAAAAGCACAGGTAAGACTGAGAAGAAATCTGAGATGCTTTTCCAAGAGGACCACTAGAAGAGGCTCAGGTCATCCACATGTGGGGCAAGAGGGTGATGTCTAGGAATGTGTTTGGAGGGTTAGATTGAAAATGATAAGTGTGGGCTAAGGAGAAAATGAATTTGCTCACACACCTTACAGTGGGTGGAATCTGGCACTACTGGGATAACAAAGCCTTCAGCCTTCAGTAGACTTCCCAGAGGAACCTGAAATCTTATGGCACATATAGTGCTTGCCTTCAGAGTGTCCTGAAATTGGCTACCTTATAGACCTTGCTCAGCGTGTGGAGATTTTTATGCTAACTTGTGGACCACAGACATCCCTTTCGTGATTGCATTTGAGGACCAGAAACATAAGGATAAGAATATGGATATGAATGTAGCCATATGCCCAAAGGAGACTGGTTGTGGAACTCGAAACTCAACAGGAATTTTGAAATACTAGCCTTGGCAGTTGCAGAAACCGAACGCTAGGGGGCCCATGCTTACCTTGACTTTAGAAATGCTGATCTCATTTTTAGCCTTTTTCTATCACATATGTTCAGCATTCTCTTTTTAACAGATCAGAAAATATATGTGAACTGTATGATTTTTCAAAGTCACACACATGGAAGCTACACTTTGAGTGATTTATAACCGCATGAAAAAAATAGTGTCAATGATGTAATTTTGTAATGACTTAGAAAACAGTAGGGGATGCCAATGAAAACATAATCTCCCATTTATAATCGAAAGAGCTGCAGATGAGAAATATAATATAATAAAGAAATATAATAAAGAAAATGTCATGTTTCCAATACATCAAACTATTACTTCTTTTGAGGAGGCACTCTATTATATGGGAAAATTATATATATAATCATATATATATATATATATATATATATATATATATATATATATGACTAGGGATGTGGCTCAGTGATAAAATATCCCTGGGTTCAATCCCTGCTACCAAAAAAAAAAAAGGAAACAAAAGAGAAAAAAGCAGTCATCCAACATGCACCTTATGAAACTTATATTCTGTTGTTCTCCCAA